TTGGAACGCACCTAGTCCGGGGTTCATTGTCTGCATGATCATTTCCAAAGTTGAACCGTGGATGTGGTACTATTTAAATTTACTAACGCCCAAAACAACTTTATCTAAAACTAAGCGGTGTACAAACTAATCTAAAGTAAAAGGCTAAATATAGAAAAAGAACTTCAAATTTTTCTTTTTTTTCTTTTACTTTACAATCAATGGAGGTAATCTAACCTCATGGAATCTATACAAAATTCTCTAAATAATATAATTGTCTATTGCAGTTTTGTACAGTAAATATACTTATTTTACAGTTATTCCTTCTGCCTGTTACACAGAGCGTCTAGATACTAAGCTTTCCAAGTACCAATCCCAAAAAGTGAATTTTAAAATTATCTTCTGACAGTAACTTGGAAACAAAATAAAGGAATATTGTATTTAAAATGTAACAAGAAAAATTGTGAGCTTAATTGGTAATTATCAATGACATCATATATGGCAATAAATGAAAGATACTGATTCTGTAATAATATACGCTAGTAAATGAAGATTTTTGCCTTGTCTATAAATATTAATCTTCAGACCAAAAAATTCCAAAATTTGATATAAATAATGAAAGTATTCGCTTGGCCTGTGATCTGGAGGGTTTTCCAACCTGCTGAGATGATAGATCTCGAAATGAGGTACCCGTTTCGTGAACTGGAGTTGAGCAACCAAATCGCCATATCCGTATCAAACCATTCATGCTTCCTGAAATCAATAAAAACCAGGAATGTGCACCAGTGGGCACATTGAATTTATGATCTATATGAGAGGAATAAGGCAGGATTAGATAAATTTTTCATACTGAATTTGATTAGACTCACTGTAAACATATCTTCATGGTTTCCAATTGATTCATTGTAGTTTCCTTGGTTTACTTTTCCTAAAATTGAAAGTATTACCTTGAGTTAGTTGTCTTCTTTCTATTGATCATGCTGTTACATAATCTACTCTAAGTTTGTCTAGGCAGTATGCAAAATTTCTCTAATCCTGATAATAGCATCCTTTGCTTAAAATCAAAGGATGCAAGTGGATGGAATCTGTTCGCCAGTCGCGATGACGAATTTGGAAGTCGCAGCAGACTCTCTGTGTGTATCTCTTGCGGGTGCTGTACCTGGTGGCCAGCGTTGCCTTGTCGCCTCTGTAATCTGATTGACATTAGAAGCAAGCAAACCGTCGCAGGTGGGATCGGCAACTTCAGACCCCAATTGTCCTGAAAAGAAACGAAGGCAACGAACAGCAGAATTACGGACATACAGCTCGCGGAGACAAGTCAGTGTACTCTGGTGCCACTGACGTATAACGGCGTCTCTGCATCGGAAATGGCAAAAAGAACCAGAGATTATTCTACTAGTTAGATGGATGAGATAAATAACCACTTGTTTTACCATTAGTGGATTCTTTGCTCTCAGATCTGTCAGACACTTAATGTGCATTCTCCGCTTAAACTAGAAGGAAACAAGTGACTCAGATGAGTCAGGTGAAGCTTAGCTATAATAGGTGGATACAATAAAACAATGATTTTAATCTAGTAGGCTTTCAAGTTGTTTATTCCTTTTAATATGTATGTAGCCTTGCCATTCGAGGACTTTTAGCGCATCTCTATAATAATAGCTTCTGATAATTGGGTAAAATTGTATAGGAATTGTTTGGCAACTTGGTCATATTGGCAGGAAGACTTTGTCGAACGCACCTTGTACGGAGTCTAGAGTATGCATACTAATCTCCAGAGTCAGACCATACACTTGGTACATTATTAGACGTTTCGCCTGCATCGTCATTGAGCCTCGCCGGTCTTAGCACCACACGACAACTCGTTAAAGAGACAAGTAAAGTCAAATCTTTGGCCAATTTTCTGCTAAGAAGTTGTGGTATCTCTCCTTCTGTCCTGGTTTATTCACCTATCCTGTACCCTCGAAACGCCGCTTCACTATCACAATTGCTTACTTTCTTATCTAAACCTAGTCGAGGCTTGCCCTTTTGAACAGATTTAGCGAGACCTATTCACACACCTCAAATATGCTGGGAGTGCAGTTTAGTCGCAGTCCTCTTCCTCCAAGTCCTATCGGAGTCTTCCTCCCGCTCCGTAGGATCCATCACTTATCCGCCTGGTTCACTGATTTTACTCGATCACTGCCACCATATTCGTGCTACTCGAGGTATTAAGTTCTACACTCTGTCTCAAGCCTTCGATAGCACGTATACGCCAGCCTCAATGAGCAAGCCCCTAAAGTCTGGATTACCAAGTAGAATAGAAACATAACTTGACGTTGCAGATTCCCTTGCCAATGTGCGACATGCGCAACGAG